AGGAACAAAGAAGAAAAGGAAAAGAGAGTCTTTTGAAGGATAAACCATGGGATTAGATAAGGTGCTCCTTCTGGACTATTGAGCCAGTATGTGTGTGTGTGTGTGTGTGTGTGTGTGTGTGTGGTGTGTGTGTGTGTGTGTGTGTGTGTGTGTGTGTGTGTGTGTGTGTGTGTGTGTGTGTGTGTGTGTGTGTGTGTGTGTGTGTGGGTTTGTGTGTGTGGAGGAGAGCCCATTGCTCTGAGCACATTAGCTGCTTGGGGTGAACAAAGCCCCTCACCTGCGAGCTTTATAATACGGGCCTGGAAGCCAGAAGGGGGCTCAGTGTGTGTGCACGTGCACGCCTGTGTGCCGGCCAAAAGAAAGGGCTTTCACTCAATAGAGAGCCACTCTGAGTGTGTGTGTGTCTGTGTGTGTCTCTGTGTGTGTGTGTGTGTGTGTGTGTGTGTGTGTGTGTGTGTGTGTGTGTGTGTGTGTGTGTGTGTGTGTGTGTGTGTGCATGTGAGCGTGTGCATGTGTCCCATATCTAGCTGCCACTGACTGTTTGCGTGAGGGTGTGCACATGACAGGGAGTAAATAGAAAAACGTAGGCTTCCTAAACGGGTATTCAACGAACAGCCATTCTGGTTGTATGTGATTGTGAATTTGTGACCTACATCGAGCTACCACTGGTGTGGTGTGCGTGTGTGCGTGTGTGTATTCTTCCTCGATTCCTTCCTGCATGAGACATTAATCCCATTATGTGGGCCTGGGAGATTTCCAGATCCCGTTCTAGTGTTACAGTATTGTTGTGATAATGTACGTTTTGGTAGTTTGTTAGTGTGCGGCACCACGTATCTCATCACGACACGCCGATGGACAACACTGAGTGTGTGTGTGTGCGCGCTTCCCTCCCCCCCCCCCTGCCGTGACCAAAAGTGGCCGGAGCTGTGTGAATTGGATTATCTCATACATTTTCTATTATCCAGCTAGACCTTGAAAGAGATAGGCCTGCTGAGAGCCAGAGCCCCTTGATATGAACGGTTTGGCCAATTTGTAGCATGCCTCCTCTCTCATGTAGGAACATATCTTACACTCATTTTATTTATCCTGACTTATCTGGGTTAGTCTCATTGAGATCAAGGCATTCAAACAGAAACGGCAACACAATTAATTAGCAGGTACAAAAACGATGAAAACGTCAGCGTGGATGGTGATTAATGTCAGAAAAGCAGGAGAGAGAGAGTAGAGCAAGCAAGAATTTTTTTTTTTAGGAAGGAAGTAGACAAATATTAATGGAAGTAACTGAAAAACATCAACAGTATTTTGGGAAAAGTCGCAATTCTTACACGGTCAGTTCCATGAAATTACTAAAAGCATGTCCCAGCTCACAATAAGTTTGGGATTTCTTATGCCAAGATTTTTGAGATATCCCAGAATACATTTAATTCGCCCCAATTTCATTTGCAAGACTATCATGTGCTCTATATTATAAAATAAAAAAACAAATAGAAGAAAATAGTAAACAATAGTAAACCCCTGTCATTTGAATTCACTGATCCACAAAAAATAGCATATACAGCAAATGCTTAGTGCTTAACTGTCTGGTGTTCAAGTCTATCTTAAAAAGAGTGTTAAATGGGAATGAATTAACAACCAAACACATGGATATGGAACGACGGTAGCACTCACTTTGAGTTTCCAGCTAAAGGAGGAATGTAAGTCTAATATTCACTCTCCTGATTTTGGTCCTCACCACTCCTGAGGGAAATATCCGGCTCTTTAGCGGCTTCACACTGACGTTTTGTGCTGGGCAGGTAGCGTGCAGTCATTTTTTTTAGTTTTTCTTTTCTGCTGAAAACAGCTGCCGGCTGCGCCTGAAAGCGATGCTAATGAGAGCATTGAGAGTGAACCAAAACATGGGCCGGAAAACCAAACAAATGAGAAGTAAAACTCTACTCTGTGAAGCTGAGGGGAACTGTGGAGCCAGGTTTTAAGGGGGTATTAGAATAAGGAACCCTTTTCACAATAGAAAAGTTAGTGTTTTGATCCGTCGTAAATAGAAAATATTGATTGGCTGCTTCAAAGTTTATGCCTAGCATTTGGAAAAGGGTTTACAACTTGATATTCATCCATTTAACCCAGGGAAATAATTCTCTGATGTGATGTTTCAGCTGGATTAAGAAAAAGTCTGAAAGAAAGTAGAACCGCACTAAACCTGATGCCAACCGCTTTATTTCTGGCACTATTTCAGAAAAGTTAACATATCTCTTCAACAGTTTTCCACATTCCGTTTATGCTGGCGGTACAAAACAGCGAGTTATTATTAATTCTACAGATGTCAAGTCAGTACTTGTTGTGACCTCGCAGAGAACGACCTTCTCAAGCTGTTTTGGTTGGAGCAAACTTCTGATGAACACAAGAAGAGACAACACATCCTGATAGCTCAATACCAGCGGTGCGCTTGATGTTGTGTGATCAATTAAGACACACATCTGTTCATTTTGCCAGCTGTTTGTGTCATTCCGCTGCCTCAGACAATGGCAGCAGTTTGGATGCAATTCATTATTTGTGCATAGCCTCTGAGCTTCTCATCAGTCCTCAGTGCCTCAAGCCTCTCATCAGTCCTCAGTGCCTCGAGCTTCTCATCAGTCCTCAGTGCCACTACACATCAAATGTGTCGTGGAAGGACGCTACATAAAAAGTGCACTGAGAAACCAGAACAGGAGTCGCTGTACTTCATGCTAATATCGCTGGATACCATACAGGCTGTTGCCTTGAAGAACAAGATGAAGAAAGACATCCTTCCAGCAGCCTTTACCGATCCTCCACTCTTCAATCACAACACTTCCTGGTTTTTCTTTGATATGTGATTGAATAATCCAATCAGGAGTTAGGTAAATGTTAGGAGAACTAACTGAGGTAAATTCAGAGGATTGGGATTGTCTTAAATTGCTAGTAAATTATCTAAAAACAGTACAAAACTGTTTTTCCAGATGATCTAACCTGTTTATTTGGAATTTTAAAAAGTAGATGATTTGACATTAAATAACTAGTAAAACGTATATAATACAATTTATGTTTAACTGGTTGTTTACAAACGTTTTGCCTCTTTACTTACTATAAAAAGTAGAGCCTTTAGTTTGACAGGCATGTTTTACTTTGGTAACATTTTCAAATCAAGATGTTATCTTGTAATTTAGTCATTTTGTTGTATTGGTATGGAATGTTACTTCCTCTTCCACAGCAAGTAGCTTGGGGGATTACACTCTTACGATCATGGCCAAAACATTCGATATAAAACATAAAACTGTCATTGCATTAAATCAAAATTGTCCTATACATTTTACATGAGCTGCTGGGAAGATCTTGGCGCCTGTCTTCTGATCTCTTCCTGCCAGTGGGCTACTCTCTTCCCCAAAAAACTTTCCATGATCTTCAAAGTTAAGATAGAGAATTATGTTTAGATTGAAGTAGAGGAATGAATGTTGTCAGTCCTCACAAGTGCAGCAGGACTGAGTTGTGTGTGTGTGTGTGTGTGTGTGTGTGTGTGTGTGTGTGTGTGTGCAGAAAAAGGCGCAGCATGAGCAATGACAGTGCCAGAGTCTAACAGGGGGAACCGACCTCGCTAGTGCTCCAGAGCCTAGATTCATTGCTTTAGTGGCAATGCATTTTTGATGTGCCACTTTCTGCTTCAACTTCTCCATACGACCCTGACAGAATAACAGCGCCCCCAGCAACCGTCCATATAGCTTAAATTTACCCTGTGACGTGTAGGTGTGTGTGTGTGCATGTGTGCGGCGTGGTGAGAGAGAGAAGGAGCGCAGGGAGACTAAGAGAAAGACAGAAAGAGAGAGCTAGAAAGGGAGAAAATGTTCCCCCTTGCCTGTTAAATATTTGAGAAGCCTTCTGTGGAGAAGTGATGCAGTCAGAGACAGGCCCGTTAGCTCAGAGTGTGTGTGTGTGTGTGTGTGTGTGTGTGTGTGTGTGTGTGTGTGTGTGTGTGTGTGTGTGTGTGTGTGTGTGTGTGTGTGTGTGTGTGTGTGTGTGTGTGTGTGTGTGTGTGTGTGTGTGTGTGTGTGTGTGTGTGTGTGTGTGTGTTGATGCAGAGACAGACAGGGCCGTTAGTTTGAACTAATTCAGCCGTGAGCGAGCGGGGCGGGAACACTTTCGCTGTTTATTTATCTACCTGGTAGAGAGAGGGAGGGTACAAGAAAACAGGAGAGAGGAGAAGAGAAAGTAAGAGGAAGAAAAAAAGAAAAAGGCTGAAAGGGGGAGAGAGAGAGTGAGAGACCAGGTTGTCACAAACCATTAGACAGACGAACTCAGTGTGCTTTGCCCCATGTCAATGAGGTTGGCTTGGCTAAAGACAACCCTGTGTGTGTTAATGCACTTGCATGTGTGCGTGCAAACTTGTGCAAATGTGTGTGTTTACATCATCTTCCGTTGCGTTTATTTGTTTTATGGATGTGGTTTCTGCATGCAATCGACAGAAAATAATACGCGCGTTTTTGTTTAGGCCTACCGGTACAAGTGGATGATGTGTGTGTGTGTGTGAGTGTGAGTGTGAGTGTGAGTGTGAGTGTGTGTGTGTGTGTGTGTGTGTGTGTGTGTGTGTGTGAGAGAGAGAGAGGGAGAGAATAACATAGACAGTGAGAGAGAATTCTCCAGACATTGGTGAGAAGAGGAGGCAGGCTGCCCTCATTGTGTTAGACAAAAGGAGCTCCCTGTGCCTTAGAACAAAATATCTAGTGTTTATGCGCACACATACACACACTTCCACTTGCTTATAGTGTGTGTTTGTGTATGTGTGCCTTTCTTGTTCATTTGTAGAAGACATCAATATTGCAAAATCCAGCCATAACACTGCTGAAACAGGAAGAAAGAGAATAGATTGGGGAAAAGAGTTATGTGTTCAGACAGCATGTGGCAAAAAATTGAAGGAGTGTAGACTGCATGCTTCTAATTATTATTTAATAGATAGACAATGCTTCACACACACAGACACACACTGTAAAACTCACTTGGGGTTGGAGCTGTTCCAGTAGACAGCGTGTCTGTCAAATATGATCTTCTCCTCTGCCCACACGGACACCCAGGACAGGAGGGTCAGCAGCACCACCACCATCACACACCTCTGCCCGAGCTGGCACACCATCATAGACATCCAGGGGGGGGGGGGGGGGGGGATCTCTCTGTCTCACTCTCTCTGGGATCAGACTTTCACTGCACTGCTGCAAAAATCCTCTTTAGATCATTAATGTCCGTCTGCGCGTCTTTGGACAAATCGTTTCGGCGGATCATGGGTCGTTAACTGGCTTGATGCGAGTTCCGATAACCCCGGAGCTGTTTCAAGTCATGCTTTATGGTTGAAATTCACTTTCAAACTCGGTCTGCCTCGGACGGATCGGCGGGATTCACATGTTATTTATACGCGCGAGGTCTGCGGGATGCTGCGAGTGCGTCTCCTCTGCAAGGTCCGAAACTTTTCTCCCATTACGCGCAGCCGGGGAGATAGATGCGCCACCTGGATTAGATCCCTCTTCTTTCACCGGAAAAAAAAACAATTCATTACACTCCAGAATTCATCCGAGGATTGTTCTTCTTGCAGCGATATCGTTTCTCATCAGCAGACACAAGTCGACAAAATCAGCCGTCATATTTATTTGGGGATTGAGGCTGTCACGCGCTTTGTTCCGCTCCTCGCATCCGCAAATCTCTCCACAACCTTAAAACTGCGTCCACTTGACCTTTTTTCTTATTGCAGTTCAAAGAAATACATCCCAGATAGACAAGCGCGCTCCTTTCCGTGATTTTCAGTCCAAACTTATCACACAAAAACAACTGCGAGACGGAAGCATCCTCCTCAGACACATAAACACACACACACACACACCACCACAAGCTCTTACAGCATCTCAACTTGGTGATCCCTCCGCTGTCTGGCTCTAATCCAATGTCCAGTGTCGGTGCGCCTCCACTTTCTGTGCGTCACGCTGAGCGCCGCAGCCAGCAGGGAGCCGGTGATGATCACAGCTTTAATCCGAACAAGCTCCCATGTAACCTGCACCTATGGCGGCAACAACACTCACCGGCACCCTGATTTGGTGTAAGTAACCCCCACCTCCCCCTCTCTCCATCTCGCGCTCGCTTTTCTCTGCGCGGGCGGGGCCTATAGCCGCGCTGCCTCTGGGGGCTCGAGGCTGGCTGACTCACTGCGTCCCGCTGAAACACAGCCGGGATGTATAGAGGAAAGCAACTCAAACAAACATACATTTGTTTCACATTTCATACGGTTATCTGACCCTAAGAACATTATAACATAATACATATTCTATAGTCTCCCCAGAGAAACTGGAAATTAGTTGGGATGTTTCAGAGTAATTAGCCTTTTTTCCCCCCACATTTTGTACTGTTTAAGGTTTTTTTTTAATGTATATTTCTTATAAACATTTATCTTTCTTCTATTATATAATATTTTTCATATCGTTCTATTTTCGCATTTTTCACAACTTAGTTCCTCAAACTGTGTTACTGTAGCATTATACACCAAACCAAATTCCGTGTAGGCTACCACTTGGCAATCAGTGGTGTAACTACAATTACTCAAGTACTTTAGGCCTAAATAAGTAAGAAATTGAGGTACTTCTGTATTTTCACATTATACTTTACATATTTTGTTACTTTGCAGATGTAGGTTATTAATAAAAAAATAATTCTAAATTAATATTATAGTGGTGCATGGTTCATATAAAGCCCACCTTTACCAAGTGCATCATTAGAGTCATGTACACATAAATGCATCAATAATTTATTTAATATCTGGAGAATGGCCATTTTGCATAAAGATTACTCTTGGTAGCCCACTTAAAGTGAGTTTTTTTTACTTGTACTCTGGTATAAATTAAAGCTGTGCATTCAAGATTGTACTTGAGTATTTTACACTGTAGTATTGTTACTTTTACTCAAGTAAATTATCTGAGTACTTCATCCACTGCTGTTGGCCATAAACCTGATTCTGATGTTTACCCGGCTCATTAATCACCACTACACCCATCTGTGTGACTTGATTCCGTTTATTTGCATGGCATCTGGACATATACAGCACCTAAAAAGTTCCCTAAGTGTTTGAAAGCTGCTGCCTGATAGATGGGCACACAGAGAGGGAGAAACAAGGCGTCTGATGGATCGCTGGAACAGTGGCGTCATTTTCCATCAGTGTCCATTAGGCCCAAAGGGCAAGCGAACGCAGCACAGAGTCTAAAACCTGTGAGCCATAAACCTCCAGATAGCTCTGTCTGACAGAGCCCTGCTGCCTCTGTTAGGGGGGGTGTGTGTGTGTGTGTGTGTGTCTGTCTGTCTGTCTGTCTGTCTGTCTGTGTGTGAGACAGATCCATCTTTGGTATTTAGTCTGAGCGCTGACGGGGGAGGCGTAGTAACTACAATGTTTCCACAAAGCTCTCCATCTTCTCTCTAACATGTGTCGATAGCCTGGGCAGAATGAGCTCCAGTGAGGATCAATCCACTCCCAACGAGATGAGAATTGATTTAGGAAATTATTTGCAACAAGTCCATTTGCATCCTTTAAAAAGGGCAGCAGACTGAAATGAGAGGAATACAATCAGACTGAAGGATGTTCTGCAGTGTTAAAACTGTGACTCCTGCACATAACACTTTCTGCAGCTTCTTATTTCACATCTTATTGTGCCTCTCTGTTGGATCCTTTATGCAAAGTGTTTTGCCCTGCTCTGCCTGTAATGCCTATGATTTGGGCTGCATGAAATCAGGCACGGAGAGAACCCATGCACCCCTTTAACCCAAATACAGCTGTATGTTGTCCGCCTCTGTGGATGAATTATTCAACATCTGTCTGGGGCGTGCATATGTAAACAGGTGGATCGTCTCCTGATGGCTTTTTTTTTTTTTAAAGGGGAGCCACTATGCACCAAAGACATCCTTCACCTTGGCATCACGCTATTTCTTCTCTGCTGTCATCCTGAAAGTGGGTCTAAATCTCATGTAAACTGTGCAGACTCCACATTATTGGCTATATTCACACATGAAGGCCTCTTAAGTGATCCTAAATCTAAAAATGAATGTGGGTCAGAGAGTCAGCGTATGGATACAAGCCTCCTTAAAAGGCGTTAAATCCATGAATTTATAGCCGTTTAAGTCTGTGATTGCTATGCAGTTTAACTCCGCTCAAGAGAGACATCAATTATAGACACATGAATTATCTCCCTGTGCCAGACATTAATACCTAAAACAGATGAATGTATGTCTTTCCAAGCTGTTGACTAACAAAGCAGCCATTCAGACTCAGTTAACTTTAAAGTCTCACACATTGGAAATCCAGATTTTTCTCAGAGACTTACTGGCTTTTGTGGGGATTGAACACGTCATAAATTATATACAAGACAGTCTTTTGACCCCTTCAGTCACCATCAGGCTTACATTTGTGTGTGGCCTTGATGTCTGCCAGTATTTGCTTGATTAGAGGCTGCAGTACTAATGTAAATAAATGCTGCCAGATGTGGAAGGATCACTGACCCACATGGTTTCATTTAGACCCCGGCGCACCTCATCTCAAGGGTCTCAGTCTGGCTAACCAATGGAGGAGAAAGGGGGATAGAGTAAAATGCATGACACACGGAACTAGGTAAAAGGATGTTTGATGTTGTATACATACAGTAAATTCCTTTGGCGTTGAATAACTTTTGAAAAATAAGTGTTGTACTTACAGTGCTTGCCAGTTTTAGCTTTAAAAAATGTGTCTCAACAGACTTAAATTATCTTTAATATCATATGTTATGTGCCAGTGACGACTCATACTTGATAACCTAAAACACATCATATAAATATGTTTGGATCATTTTTACTTTGAATTGCCCTTGCACCCAATTATGCAATCTCTTTGCATTTCAATATATTCCAAAGAGGTTTCTGCTCTAAATTACTCCCGGTAGCGTACAGTGAACTACTAAGAAGCTGACAGTAAACAAGCGTCAAGTTGCTGCCATGGAGTTCCCTGACTTGGAGAGATGCACTGAAGTTTTTATATATTTTTAAAAAGGTACCTGAAATTATCTTGGCAGAAATTCTAGTTCCCCAAGGGAAGCAGTCAAAGAAAACGATCTGCTCTTCAGTACAAAGCTTCCCTTTGCATCGTAAAACTGACATTTCTATGCCATGTTGGTAACGTATATGAGACAGGTTTTTACTTTGACCTTCAAGCATGCTTTCTCATGCAAAGTAATGAGTAGAGAAACAAGTGCATTCACTGTGGAACTCAGTATATTTAAGACCAGGTTCCACAAACAGCTGGGATTATACAACAAATCCAGCTCCTCTCAGCCACAAATACAGACACTGCTGGACTCAATTCTCCTCTCATTTGTCCCCCTCTCGAAAGGCAGGGAAGATTTGAGGATAATCCTGTCTACGCCTCTGTATGGAAGTCGAAGAAAAGAGGTATAATAATGTCAGAAAGCTCAAGGAGGCACTCGAGATTAAGCCACTAACTATTGACTTTGTGTGAGTGGCAGGTAAAGTCACCTCTACGCAACAGCCTGAGCAGCAGAGAGCAAGACCTCCCCCTAGTGGATCAGGAGGGCTATAACCCGTCTGTCATTGAGGTTTTTCCTCTCATCCCTGAGGAACTTAGTGCCAAACATGATGGATGCCTGATAGCCATGTTTGTTTTTAATCTTAATTATTAATCTTTATGTGATACGGCAATTTAGTTTCCACAGCAACCTGGCTCGTCTCCAGAGAGCCAGGCAGACCTGCTACTGAAAAGGTCAAAGCAGAGCACAGGAGCATGGAGGATTATTCAGAATCATGGAGAATAGCAAGTATCCAGCGTTGCATATCGAATTAACTCTCCATCATCAGCGCCGCGGCTTCATGAAGGGATTGGAACTGGATTTCGCTGAGCCCAGATGAGCTGTCAGTCAAGGTTCAGATGGGATGAGTACAAAGTTGGAAATATAGTAAAAGGTTTAAAAAAATATATAAAAACACCAGTAGTAACAAGGATGGGAAATGTGGAAAGTGTTACGAGGTGTTAACCGAGTAGTTTCAGAGGACAGAGGGGAAGAGACAGAAACCAAATGAGGCCAGATGAAAGAAGGAACAAACTAAAGATTTATTGAAGGCAGCAGAAGATGCAAAGACAAGAACAGAATGGTAAGGTGGGGAGCGGGGCACATACAGAGACACTTCTGTGTTCAGATAGGTTTAATGTCTTTGAGTTACAAAAGTGTGTTTTTTTTTTTTACAGCTCCAAAGAGCTTAATAGGTCTGTATTGTTTATCAAAATATACATGTTTTGAAACGTAAAGTGGATAGAATCCAAATGATTTTGTGGTACAAAAACATGAGTATATACAACCATCAATCCCGCATCATACAATAACCCCACCCCACCCCCATATAAAAAAGAGAAAAATAAAAGCTTTAAACAAAAGAATCAAAAAGGCATATAATCTTCTACACCATCAACATCACAGCTACGACTGTGGTTCATTAAAGTATCCATTCTAAAGCAATCTACCAAAGTAGGCTCTTTGTAAAGTCGATCAACAAAAAGGTATACACATACAGTATAGGCTGATGAACAAAAGATATCTCAATTTCATGTGACATTTGTCCAAGGCATCTGAGAAATGGAAACAAGGGAAACTGAAGCCTGGTGAACTTGTGGAAATGTGAAAGAAAGAAAAAAAACAACCTTTAGAAATCACGACACTACAACACAGCAGGGGTAGAAGATACTTTGGTCCTTATCAGCAATAACCGCCTGGAGCTACATGAAGCTTCGTTAAACCATGCATAATAATCTTTTACAAAAATAGAGACAGAGCGCATCTGTATCTGGTCCAAAACTAGTGGTCCAGGCTGTGGAAACCGGTGCACGAGGCACGCAGGAATGTGACGACGTTTAAGACTTCAGCGTGATGGTGCCAATTTGGACCTATCGTTGAGGAAAAGTGCACTAAGGAACCTGACTGTGGCGTAGGGGGACAGAGAGGACCGCTCAGGGCTACCCCGACCTGTAATGCTGTTATCCTGAATTTTAGAAAAAAAAAGATATATACTGGGTTTAGGGTTTTTGGACCCCAGTTGACAAATGAAGCTGCCCTCTTACAGGTAGGATCACCTGAATAGAATGGGATAAAGGCATCTTTGCAGAGCGATTAGATACACCTGAACGAGCGGTAAACAAAGTCAACTGACCGGGCCAGAGTGTTTCAGCCTCAGATTAAAAAAACTCAAGGCACTGTGATAATGATCAAACCCAGCCACTACATATAGGTATCAGTTAAGCTTAGAAGTGATACACATGTAAATGCTAACATTAAAAGAAAAGATAAATGAATATATATATAGATGTCCACATATACATGAACATAATATGGTTAAATGACGCCCCAAACACCCGACTGAGGAGGGAATACATGGAGGTGAGTGGGGACTGTAAGACAGGAAGGCTGGACACAGCTCTAACTCCTGCCACAATACACCTAACAGAGCTACATCACCTAGCAAGGATATTAGGCATCTAACGGACTTACATTCATATTTCTACACACATATAATGGGGATATATGCATACAAATCCATAGATAAACATCTGTGTTCTTAAGATTGAATGAGCCACTTTCCCTCCTTTTGTTATCAATGCTGGTACATACCAGAAGGCATGAAAGAAAAAAGAGCCACGTCTTTCCCAAATAAATCCAGAGCAATGCTTAAGGCAACCTGGTTGGGGCAAAGTAAGGCACAAGACTGTAGATATAGATATTGAAAGAAAAAGACATGCTTATTGAATGACTTCAGATAGTGGTATTGATCCCCCAAAGAAAAAGGCGGATAGTAACAAGATATCTAAAATCAAAATGGATACTGGGAAATAAAATGGCCTGTGAGCCAAAACAAAATCCTTTGTATCAAACCGTTTCTGACTGGCCAACAGGTTCAAAGTGGCATTTCAAAAAAGGCACACAAAGATATATCCATACGACTATCGTAGTAAAAGGAATGCTGAAGTGTGTCTGGTGTGGACAGGATTCGTCCACATGAGCATCTGTGGTGGAGGGTGTCTTTTTAAATGATTTGGTCTAAAGTGACAGTTCATCAGCTGCCCCTACTTTACCTCCAATACGAGACCTCGGTTCACTGCAGAATGTGGCCCCTCTCAAAGGGCCCAACTTAAAACCATATCGTGGAACAAATAATGATTTGGTTTGGGTATCAGGAACCTGACCTGGAACCAGAAACTCCTTTGATTCTAGTTCCTGATTAATGTGCTAAATGCGGGCCAATTGTCTTACATTGCATGTTACATGTGCACCAAGGCCTGAGAGTAGTTTAACCATGTAGAGAATTAGCCAATGTTAGCACAAATAAAAACAAGTGAAAGCAACGTGAGCGATTTGTCCAGTTCGAATTAAAAATACATATTGTATTTTATGACACTTTTAACCAAAATAAGTAACAATGCTGTTTGTTTTCCACATATTTTGGTGAAAATTGGAACCATGAATCGGAATCAATACGCAGATTGAATCAAACGTGATACCCAAACCGTTAAACAACTGGGAATGATTAAGAAGGATGAAGGGAGCGACATTCTGCAATGAACCACAGCCATTCATATGTAATGATGCCTATTTCCACCGAACACAACCTTGATTAAGTATCAGTATTAGTATTCAGGTGACAATAGACTTGGAGGGAGGGAGGAAGGAAAGGCACTCAGATGGTGGACTTTGAGAAGGACACTCGGAGGTGGTGGTTCTCTCCCAGGTCGTGGTTGTGGAACTCGATGAGGGACTCGATTGCCTCCTCCACTGAGCCCATCTGGATCAGGGCCATCTTGCGGTCCTTTCTGTAAAATAAAGAAGAGACAATGTGTTGTTATAAAAAACAAAGAGGGAACAGTGTGTTCTGAAAGAGTGAGACTTTTGGAGGTGTGCTTGCCATTTGCTATGTTGCGACTATTTTTTTTCTCTACAACACATCTTACCCAGACTATAAACCATAGATACAAAGAAAAAGACAAGCTTTCAAACCCCCCCCAAGGTACAGAACAATTCAAGAAAATAAAGAGTGACTGGGCTGAGACTTACTGAAAGAACTTGAAGGCCTTGACTGTGGATCCTGAGCTGGCGAAAAGCCTCTTGAGGTCCTCCTCCACCACGGCAGGTCTACAAGCAAAGAGGGGGGAGCAAAGAATTAACATCAAACATTTATGGAGGTTTACACTAGGGCTTAATGACTAATCGATTTTAAATTATGCAATTATCAAATCGCAAAGCCTGCGATTTTTTCTTCTCGTGTGTCAGTCATCCACACCAATCAGAAGTGCTGTGCTCCACATGTACCAGCCATTGTTAACCAATCAGAAGTGGCCCATGATAGAAGGTGATAGACAGATTGATCCAATCACCTGCCAAGTATTTTTGAAAGTGCCTGCCCTTTTCCAAATGGCTTCCAATGGAGCTTTCCTAGATGGTTTGGTGAAACAAACCATCTGAGTCAGGTTAGTAATGCTCCATCACATGTTTTACATCTATTACGGGCCGTCCACACAGCGGCTTTGGGAAAAGCTTGCCGGCGGGCGTGTCTGAAGCTCGACCAACAACCAATCACATGAATCTCCCGCCCCTGACACACAAGCAGCGGTTTGATTGGCTAGAGCTTGTACTGGCATATGATTTGATTGGCTAACGCTTCCACCGAAAGCTTCAGAAGCTTCAAAAGTTGAACATTGCTCAACTTTTGCAGCTTGAAACGCCAGGAAAGCTCCGCTCTGCTTCCCACAATGCAGTTTGGCGAAAAGTGACGTCACCCCATTCAAAGTGAATGGGCAGAAGCGTTGGAAGACGCTTCCAAAGCCGCTGTGTGGACGGGCCGTTACAGGGTGAATCTTAAACTGAAGCTTGACTTTAAAGCAACCCAACGGAAGTTTCATGTAAGTTTAGTTCTTTCACTCGTAGCTCGGGCTGCGGGGGTGCTAGAGACGGGAGCACGTTGATACGACCTTCCTAGCCGGAGATATGGCCGCATTTTACAATAAACTTCCGTTGGGTCGCTTAAAAACAAATATCGCAAATCGAATCGCAATTAGATTATTTCCCCAAATCGTGCAGCCCTAGTTTACACCCCCTCTACCTATTTGCATTTCCATGTTTATTTCCTGGCATTGTGAAACGAGACACAGGAGGCCTGATTAAAATAAAAAACATGCACCTCTAGAGTAGCATGATTTAGAAAACACCGTCGCAGCTACTGAATCCCAAACGCTAAATATAGATTAAAATGAGTCAGGACTACAAAGGGAAAAAGCTTAAAGCACAGAAGCTGCTGGGGAGGGAGTGGGAATTCAAATGAGGCACTCACGGTATGTTGGAGAGGTGGAGTGTTGCCGAGGGTGGGAAGATGTTGGAGTAATTTTTGGAGCCGGGCTTCTTGAAGCGGTGCAGCGGTGAGTTGCTGTAGTCCTTGGTCAGGCCCTGGTCCTCGTGGCCCTCTCTGGGCAGCTGCACGGTGGTGTGTTTGGATGAAGTCACACGCATGGCCCTGCCGTGGAGACGCTGGCCATTCAGGTGGCTCATAGCTGAGAAACATTAAGATTGTTAATATCCCTTCTCATATCAATCACATTTCTGTTCATCAAAAGAAGACCCACCAGGTCAGATACTGTGAGGGGGTAAAAAAAAAAAAAAAACAAGATGAGAGAAAATGAAACTTCAAAAGAAATCAAATTGTGTAGCTACCTAGCTGAGCTTGTGTGCAATCAGACATCTGGATCAGAGCATTCTCCTTTTTATTAAACAGGATCTTCACTCGCATCACATCGCCGTATACACCTGGGGAGGAAGAGGAAGGGGTCACAAAACAAGGTACACAAAGAACAGTCTAAACAGCAGCTTTGAAACCAATCACAGCAAAACACCATCACATCAGGGACAGTAATATTCATACTGCTACTTGACAGTCATTGTCAGGCTATTCTACTAATTGTTCAATTCTGCATGGGATCTATAGAACTAATCCTACATAAGCCCTCTTATATTACAATTACAGATGCTGAGAGCTATGGTTATGCTTTAGAAGGGAGTGATTTGATGGCGAAATCAAAGAGTAGTACGAGTGTTTCTGATCGGTTTGCTCGCTCTACGGTGAAGAAAAAGTTGATTGCTTGACTAACCTGAGGGCCTAATAGAGAAACATGCAGGAATACGCTTAACATGCAGATACCTACATTAGGCTAAACAACTGCAAAGGACGTGGTGACATAATCTGAGGGATATGTCAACTCAAAGAAAAGCAGCAGCATTTCATCTGTATATGTTCTGTTGCGGAGCGACTCAAGGCAACCAGAGGAACGAAACCGACAAAAATAGAATTTGCTGAATTTTCATGGCCTCCAATTGGACCGTGCGGAACCAAATAAAGTGTTGGCTTTTATCCTCTTCCCGAGGCTGATGCTTTAGAATTCATTCCTGAACAAAATGATCCCCATATTTATATTTAGCGAGGCAATGTTTCCATTGAGGGGCTGTGCTCTTTGAAGATGCCCATGGACAGTAGGCTGTAAAAAACTAAATGAAATGCTGCTGCTTCGTACGGTGTTCTCACCTTACTTTCCTCACACAAACCCACAACAACCAAAACAGGTCATACAAACCCCCCACAAACAAAACAGACAACCCCCACCCTTCATAATCCCTGTACCCTGATGACGAGCCATCAGTGGTTAAAATAAAAACAAAGCCAACAACAATGAGACAAGACATGCCCACCTTGCCGGGTAACAGTAGTAATAAAAAAAAGGAGATGAAAGGATGATAACGTACCGAAAAGAATAAAGAGGCAGTGTGGCGTAACGCTCTTTAGAGACAGCAGGGGGAGCAGCGGGGCAGGGGGCCAAAAGGGGGATAATAGGGAACAGGGGACAGGGGAAAAGAGCGGAGTGGAGGACAGTGGAGTGGAGTCAGGACATGTCCGCAGGCCACAGGCAGCGAGGTCCACAGGAAGGCCACAGTACCATGGAGGAAGGAGAGGCATGAGGGACGACGAGAATGAAGAGGGGAGGAGAAGGAGGAGCATGAGAGAGGAGGGTGGGGTGGAGGAAGGGAAGAAGATGGTGGAGGGACAGTTGATGGTAACATGTGCCAATGTTGTGTTTTTGTGTTTTCATTTTGTAGGTGGTGTCCAAATTGAGGAGGAAGAGGGTTGGGTGGGTGGAAGGAGGAGTGGTTGTAACAGAGGGGGGGGGGGGGAGAGAGGGAACAATTGGTGGTGGGGCGTGCAGTCAGTTGGCAAGAGTTGAGGTGAGGGGGTTTTAAAACAAAGGGGGGAGAGGGGGACAGAGAAAGAAGAGAGAGAAAAAAGGAAGTAAAAAACAAGGTCAGTATACACAAAGAAATGTAGTGCTTCAGACAGTAGGACTGGCTAAATTAAAATGCACTGTCACTATGGGAACACTAGGAGAAAAAGAAGAGAAAAAAAGATTAACAATGAAATACAGAAAAAGGCAGAGACAATATGTACTTTAAATTACAGGCTATGTTTGTTCATATTTAATATTACATAATACAGATCTAAATGTAAGTTTTAAAGCTGATCTTAAAGTTAACAATGCTAACTGTAAGGTCTACATAACTACAGTAAATAGAATGTGTGACTACTTATACATCCTAGAGAATTACCTAAATCATGGACATTTCTTTAAAAGAATACAAATATAAAAAGTAATATTGTCTCTCCAACAACTCAAGAATGATTTCAACTAATGGGACAAAAATGAAGATGTGAAATGGTAAGTAAAAATAAAATAAAAATAAAGAAGTTAGTGTTTTTGAATAAACTTAAAATTCACAGTGAGCAAAGTGGCAGAAACGCAGCAGGTTTGGTCAAACACAAAGAGGTCCTGAAAGAGAAGAGGGTTGGACTCCATGACCCCCTTTAAATTAAAAACATTGGTCTGATCGCATGTAGTGGTGTGAAATGTGTGACTTGGAGCTCTTGTGCAAATGGATCCAGATCCATGAACCCGTAGTGTAAACAAATGGCACTGTAACATTTGTGTGTTTCTCAGCAGCTTTGACAGAGGCAGGGAGTGGAGCTGTTAACGCCCAGTGAGAGTACTGACCTCAGGGTTGAGATTGCTGACCAGCAAGACATTGTGTCCCCCAGAGGCAGTGAGCCCTGACAGACCCAGCCTGTTAGCAGCTGCTGCAGCAGCCGCCATGCCACCATGGCCCATACCCAGAGAGGCCAGGCCGGGCATACCAGGCATTGACAGACCTGAGAGGAACACATAATTCATTACTTTGACATATTGCTTTCTGCATAATGAAGGGACTTGGTGAGGATATAAAAACATGGACATATATGATATCACGATTATTTTGGTCAATAATTGATATCACGATAATTAAAAACAATTATCCATTTACTTTGAAAACATCCATTTAATTAAACATTATTTTGAACAGTATGTTTTTAACAGTTGATTACCTTGAACTTGAAGTATAATTCAACTGAAAAACCAATAAAATATAAAAATAATCGTTTTATTTCGATTACGTTGTTTTTGTAATCGTTGCAAGCCAAAATCTTAAATCGAGATTAAAATACGATTAATTGCACAGCCCTAATATATGAAGGGAAAATATATAGGGTAAGTAGCAGGTAGATCTAAGGAGAGGAAATACAGGTTTCATTTGACATGGCATAAAAATATGTGTGTGTACTGACCTGATTGCTGGAGGGCAAAGGCTGGGGGGAAGCCATGAGCGCCACCATAAGGAGAGGCTGAGATCAAACCTGGAGCAGCTGGGAAGAGATGCAACAAAAAGCAAAACAATACCCTCTCCGTCAAAAGTGTACTTGGAATATTGTTCGATCCTCAAATAAAAAAAAATGCTTGAAATTGCTGTTTCAGGGTTCATATATATGTATAAATGTATAGAGAGGCGAAGTCCCTCCCTTTCCAGGGGAGCTCCATGGGACCTTATTTTGGAAAAAGTCAATGGGGAGAGAAAGATTATCTTTCGACCCCGTTTGAATTGTGCCACGAATTACACATATGATGTTTGTCAATGTAAAAGATAATTTTGCAAGTCAAAAAAATAAAAATGTGTCGTAAAACTGTGAAGTAACACTTTTTTTTGTGTGAAACCGCTCAATGAACTACATCTCCCGTCTCGCACCACACACCAAGACGGCCGTCACGTTGGCACATTTCACTTCTTTCTTTCAGTATGAGTATGTGCATGTTGAGAGCTGTACATACACAAAAGGGGAGTTCCGTAAGAGCCAGCATGCGGGACCGGGATTCTGGGATTTGTAGTCTTTCTAGTTGCGTATTTTTCATAGTCTTATATTTCAACAGTTTTACGACAAACTGTGACTTTTTTGACATAGAAATTATTTTTTAAGATTGACAAACATCATATGTGTAATTCGTGGCACAATTCAAACGGGATCGAAAGATAACTTTTCTCTCGCCATTGACTTCAATACATTATTTTTCCGAAATAAGGTCCCATGGTGGTCACCGGAAAGGGAGGGACATCGCCTCTCTATAGGACCATTTATAACCAAATAACATTTTTAAATTGTGTCCCAATCCTACCAAATGCAGCGGCTGCCTGCATGGTCTGGTGGTCGAGTGAGGGCTGCGAGTCAGCAGTGGGGAGGTCCGGTCGGGTGTAATCTCTGCTCTTGTCGTTGTTGTACTTGACGTTCAGGCTGGTGAGCTTGGAGAAGCTGATTCTCAGGGTACAGCAGGCGTTATAGATGTTCTGTCCATCCAGAGACTGAGACAGACACCAGAGCATTAGATGCATGATAGTTTGTGACACTGGTGATTTTAACTACAGTTTCATTTTCAAATGGTCCCACAATGTTTACACTGCATGTGTGGCACCCCTATTGCAGAAGTGGTGTTAACATTGTGGGAGTTAAACACCATGAAAGAGAGCATATTTATAACCAGTCTTACCAGTTTGGAGTGCTGAGCTGTCAACCCATCGGCATACTGGATCAGAGCCTGGAACTGGTTGTTCTTTGTGAAAGTGATGATCTTCAGCACAGTGCCGAACTTAGAGAAAATCTGGAGGGGGGAGGCCGCATGATTAGAGATGACATCACAACAAACACATTTCATTCAAACATTATGGTCCGAAAGATAAACGGAAAACATTTGCACATCTGCGTCCCACTACTAAAAACGTGTTTACGCAGCTCCACCACATTTGCAATGCACTTTCCTTACATGGTAGTAAATGTCAGCCATAGAGAAACACTTGCAACATCAAAAGGTTGCAAATACAGTTGCGTGTTTCACTGCTAATCTTCTCATCGAAAACAACACCAGAAAAACCGGTAAGTTCTACTGTAAGTAATTGCATAAAGGGTACTGTCAAGCCTATAATACATGTAATAATTCACAACTGTAGCCCCTCTAACAAATTACTAAAACTCCCGTACCTGGTGCAGAACATCTAGGGTGACGGGGTAGAAAAGGTTTTCTATGATGACTCTGAGCACAGGGCTTTGGGAGCCTGCTCCTCCCATGGCAGCAGGATCTGCAGGGATGGCCATGCCTCCCATGCCTCCCATGCCTGCCATGCCTGCCATGCCTGCCATACCGCCCCCCATACCGCCTCCATGCAGCGCATTGACCGCCTGCAGAGCTGCCTGGGCACGCTACGGGAAGAAAAAAGAGAATGGTGAAACGTATGCAGTGATAAATGATTTAGACAACTCATAACTCTTTAGTATCCAGCAATGACTGCGCGAGCGAAAACACTTACCACTTGGTTGGGGGAGTTGTCCGTCTTGAGCTCCTTGTGGGTCGAGTATTGCATGTAAATGGGGTGGTTTCTGATGACGGGGGTGACAGAGGAGTAGTAGCTCACCATCGTCTGTGCACACTCCTCGCTGTTCATTTCCAAGAATGCCTGTAGGGGAGGAGCAGAGAAACTTCTTTAATATGTTTTTCCCATCATTTGTAAAAAATTGAAAAAGAAGAAAAAGGTGACCCTCTTAGGCAATGTTCATTAAGCGCTCCTAATAATTTAGCAGGTCTGTTGTAAAACTAATTAGGAGAATTTTTACTGCCCATCACAGTTCCTCTACTTTTAGCACATTTTCAGTTGTACATCTTTATTGGATTTGATATAGAACCCCAGGTAATATAAAGAAAAAAGGGACTTCTTCCAGTACAATTCAGAAAATACAATTATCATTCTACCCATTCAAACTTTGAGTATGTGACAAAAGGGCATCGTCTTAATTTTGATGGCAGGGCAGAAGGGTAGAGAGCTGACCTCCACCTCCCAGGCCTAAAGGGATTGTCCCCAGGGGTCATACAGGTTTGTGAGCAGCCCTTCATGTATCAGTCCTTACCTGGTTTTTCCCTTTCAGCATCAGCAGGTTGGTGACCTTCCCAAAGGGCAGTCCCAGCCCAATAACTTCTGCTTCATTTATGTCGTTGGGCAGCTTGCGTACATGGACCACTCGTGACGGAACACCAGGACTGCGCACGTCACCCTTGAATTTTTTGCTGTCGTTGCCATTGGCTGCGAGAGAATAAACACACGCAGATACAATCAGGGAGGGAACAGAAGCCTCTGGTTCGTCTTGAATAATGGATTGATCGTCATGGCAACACAAACGACACAGAAAACGACAAACACTTCAATAAAAAAGGATTCACTCCTCCATGGCAACCCCCCCTACCTGAGTTCATGATATAGGGCCCAGTGGGTATGCAGGAAGAAAAGAGTTCGTCGGATCCCCTCTGTAGATAGAGAGAAAACAATGGTTCACTTCAGTGCATTCACCAATGAGGGCGCAGCATAGCAGGTGGAGACCACGGCTCTCGTATTACCCAGCCATTGTGTGATCAAGCAGGAAGTAATCATATAACCAAAAGAGGATTGTGCAAACATGCTTGAAAAGAGCTCCACCTTCCTCACCGGGAAGAATTAAATGACCCAGCCTGTCAGCAGGGATATTTGACTTCTCATCATACTCATATCTTACCATCACAACTCAGTCCCAGTTCCTAACCTTAGCCACAGCCAGGATCATTATATTGTGACTTGGGGCAATGTGCAAAATCATCATGTTTTAACACCAGTCACCCTCACGGAGGAACAGCCACTATTCAGCTGAAAGTGCACACGCAAGCAGTTCCACCTTAGCCTGACAGCCGCTGTCACTCAGTGCAATCCATCTTCTAATAATTCAGTATAAGAAGGAAGGATAGCACACAAAAGCCCTCTGGATGGGAAGAGAAGATGGGAATACCCTGTGCCCACACGGGCTTACTGTCTGCTGAAACAGCCTCTTCTGTCTTCTGTCCTCTCTCTCTCTCTGTGTAGTAGATATAAAATGCTGTTTCAGGGCTGTTCTCATGGTGTGTGAGTTTGTGGTTGTGCGAGATGAAGTATACTAGTCACAAGAAGTGGCTCAGCAGCCTAAGCTCAACAACACTACAATGAAGGTCCTGTTCCGGCTGAGACTAGGGGCATTGTTACACGGCAGCACACACACATATGGAGCCACAAGGACTCTCTGGGAGTTGAAGAGCCCCGGAGCGCTTAACAACCAGTCATGCAGGTTTGCTAGCATACCTTGTGAATCTTGGTCTTTAAATATGCATGGGGGGGGGGGGGGTTAGTCAGGCTGCAAAAGCTTCTCATAAAAGGTAGGATTAATGTGATCAGAGAGAGAACGTTTGGTGGTGCCTTCTAAACACCGTGAAGGGGGAGTACTAAGCGCACTAACTCTGTTACCATTAGAGCAAACCACTGTAAGCTGGAACATAAACTGCCCTTTGACTTCCAGATGGTTTGGTCGAGGCGGTCACTCTCACTCTGAGGCCCACGCAAACAGTGTCTGCTATCTCAATTCATGGCCTTAGAGCAACAACGGACATTCCTTTGCCTTTTCACTCTGGCTTCAGGATCAGGGGCCTCCTGGTTTGGCAAATGTTCAAATCTTTACATAAATGGAATGTATACATGGCAGAGTTTCTGAGCAAAGAGAACTTGGGTGCCACAAAAACTCTAAGTTAGTCCCGGAAAAGACAAGAAAAAAAATGCATTTAAGGTTTTTTAAATGATTACTACACTCACAAATAATGAAAGTGTGTTCAGTGGTTAGGAAGTCAATGTAAAAACAACATTTATACTTGATAAATGGGCCAGGGCCAGTTGCAAGCTATGAGAAAGGAAGGAAGTGGCTCCCTCCTGACTCGGCACTTGTGGGTGGGCAGAGTCACATTATCAGTCAGCAGACTAACTCCAAACAGGAAGAGCAGCGAGATCAGGCCTGCTTCCAGGCTTTTTACTCAACTTCCTCCTGGGGACTGATGGTTACTGTTCCATGGCAGGACTCTTTCTCTCTCTCCCCCAACTTCCTCATTCTAAAAATAACCACAGAGCGAAGGCAGCCTATAGTACAGAGCAGGAACATCAAATCACACACAAAGGAGGATTGTATACAAAAAAAAGACTAAAGAATATACCTATAGCCTTGGGAGTAAGTGGTGCAAAGATAGCAGAGTAGCACATAACCAAGATACAAAGTCGATGCAAGAAATATAGAGCATATAAAAGGTTTGTTAGTTAGACTGCAACATAGTGCCAAACCCATGCTTCCTGCAAAACTCACTGAATGTGTATCAACTTGTTCACATCCTTTGTTTGCTCTCACAATATAATAGCAACCTTCGGGAGGCGGTGACACATTACTGGCCCGCATGATGAAACTCTTCCTCTCACTGATAATGGCACTGGCCTACCTTGAACTCAACTTAAACAAAAAACAGGAACATGGACTGTGGGCAATATGACTGCTCCATACATCACTTCACACCTGGTTTGCATTGCAAATTATGAGAAAAAAGAACATTGCAGAACTTGTGAAAACTATGATTTTGTAAGAAAACTAATTCCGACTTCCTTTGTACTTGTGCTGGTGCCTGCAAGCAGCCTCACTTTGTTCTATGTTGGGGGGTTGGTGTGAGGTAATCTCTCTGGAAAAGCACAAAGGCGAAGAGCACAGGTACGGACATGTTTGCTCACTGTGATCAGTCTTTGCCCGTGGAGGGGGCAGGGAGCTGTGCCTCACCAGGGGGTGGAGGGGGGAGATTGGAATGTGACCGCGGAATGCCAGACGCTCTGCCCAGACGGAATAATTACAGATTCCAGCGAGGCAGCGCTCCATAACTCAGCATCCTCTTTACCACAAAACTTCCCAAAAACAGGAAAAGTTAGAGAAAGAATCACAAAAGGAGTCCGATCTTGAGTACCAATCAGTAGCCTTTAAATCGTGCATTGTTAACATGTTGAAAAACATCAGGGCCTTATTGAAGTAAATAGAGGGGGTGGGGTGTGTATCAGAGAGCTTGTTCAAACAGTGTAAAGACCTTTGCCCGAGAGGGTGAGGACAGTTGAGGCGCGATGGCTACAGCCGTAAGTTCAATTACTCCTCCTACACATAGCTGCCCAGGGGCCCGTAACCAAGGATTACTACTTAGGCAGGCATTTTTATTGGGTACGCAAGCAGCAAACAACAAATGTGGTCCCACTTCAACAAGTTTGCACACACAAGCTACAAAGAAGGGCTATGACAGTCACATTAGCATACAACAGCTCCCTCATGACTGAAATGAGAAGAGCTGATTCATGCACAAAGATATAACTTTGGACACTTTTCTGAATTGTTCTACTGGTTTGGGTTAGGTGTTCTAGTAACATGGCAGAATAAGCACCAGGGCAGGATTCAGCTGCTTTTGTTAACATTCCAGTTAGGCCAACATGCTATTAAGGAACACACAAAATAAACAGGAAGTTTCATTTCCCTACAGCCACACAATGCATCAGAAACAGGACAGGAAGGCATAAAACCCCAACTCAGATAATCCATTGTAACTAAATTATCACGTTTTTTTGTCCACAGTCTTGAGAGATGCAGCTACCTTAATCTGAGTGTTGAACATTATGAATCGGCAACTGAATACTCATTTCGCATAGGAAACATGCTTTGGACTGCAGTTCTATAATTATAGAGGGCACTCTTGCAAATTGAAAGACTTTGCATCTGAAGTCCTGAAAACTGTTGTTTTCCATTTCCACTGACTTCTCTTAAACCAATATTACCCAACATATTCCAACTGCAGCACAAATTTATATATATTACAAACGTCATGTCAATTACACACACATTTAATCTGTGGCATTAATTATGTGGTCTAGCCATGTAGTGAAAAAAGCAGTACAGCAAAGAGAAGATTTATTTAAAAAAAAAAACATCTTACCTTTGTGCCAACTGATATGTCATGGACACTTCTGTGAAAGAGAAGAAAGTTGATCATTAATTTAGTAAATCAGAGAAAATAACACAAATGATCGTGGAAATTCATTACTCTTTATATGTATGACATAGTGCAAATCAACCAAAAGAACATTCACTTTCGCATACGAAACTAGAAATTCAGGAAGTGTTCCGGATAATAAAAAGGGAAATCAAGGGCAGGCGTACACATTTGCAAATATAAACAAAATACTTACTCGAGTTCAGGGACGTAGCCGGCTCCCAGGGGGTACAAGTCAGCGTCTAGGCGGCTGTAGGAGGTTTGGGAAACATAACACAATGAACACTTAGCATATAAATAAGTAATAGCACATTAAATCTCGCGAATAACACATGTACGTCAAACGTATTGTAAGTTATGTGCAACGTTCACTATGCATTGATAAGTCCCTATACACTGTCGAATTCAGATGATCAAAAAGGGTCGAATGAAACAACAAATCGCCATTGTGTACCCTACCCTTGTTTAGACACACCAGTATAGAAGTATCTGATTCAATCAACGGGAAATGTTCAGGCCACACATCTTCAATATGGCCCTGGCACTCCGCAGACAAATGAATGCGGAAATGAGACACGTTGCTTTAGCTAGCGCTCAATCTCCCGTGAAACCAAGTTACCAAGGTAGTTGGCTAATGTTCACATAACGTCTGCGATAGCAAACGAAATAGCACTACCAGTATGTCCCTGATATAACAAGAGTGTTTACTAATCATAACTCTTAATATCTTTGCTGTTAATCTGTTTACACAAAACTACAAAACATAGTCCGTACAAATGGTCACCCTAACTACCGTTGTTAGCCATGGCTAGCTAGTTAGCATCCTCTGCTGCTAACTGTTGCATGTTTTGATGGAAAAAAACAGTTTCAAAACTTTCCCGGTCTAACGGTTAAGTGAAACAGCCATTGCGAGCAAACACCTTTGTCAAGCAACTGTAGTATCAAAGTATAATACACAGCGATATGTTAGTTTTGTAAAAATTAAGTCTCAAGTGTGGTTCTTTTTCCACTTACCCGTCCATTGCACAAGAAAAAAACTGCAGGTCTGAAGCGAAGGTAGGGCGGCAGACTTGCTTGATTTTCTTACAAAATGGCTGAACACACGGAGGCGAGCGCTGATTAGTCCAGGCACTTTCAAGAGCCAAAAAGGGGCGGGGACAAGCTGCTACTTGAGCAGCCATTGGACAAGACGGCCATCATTTTGTGGCTGGCTATAGAAAGGCCGCGGCAAATTTCCAGAACATCATATAAAGTGTGATTAGGTTTTGTCTGAGTTGTAAGTGATGAAAAGAAGAGCGTACTATGACTAATCGACTTATCGTTAAAAAGGGAATGCCCCACTGTTTTCTTGAAGACCGAACAAGTATGAAGTCGCAGTTAAATGTATTGGCTCCTCTTGTTATATCTTATGATGAAACAGTACAAAACACACCTTCAAAGATGAACACCAAGGAAGTGTTTTCAGTGGCGCATTTAAATTAGTCCTCCTCAACACCAGCTTTTAAACGAGTATGTGGAAGAACTATACATCTTTTACTATAGTCTATTCATTGGCTAAACTCAACATTTTACTTTATTAACAGTTAAGAGACTGCCAAATAAATTAAAAAGTATAGTAAATGTAATAACATAAGGTCACATACAGGCCAGTTATTTTAATGATTTTCACCACTGTAAATATGAGATAATTAACAAAGAATTAGGAGATTCCAGGTGGAATATTTGCAGAGTAGGTTCACTTTCATCCACACTATTCATAAAGTAGGCTAGGATTAATCTGAATCCAGCCCTTGGGACTAAAACCCCTTGGACCTTTTGACACATTTTTCAGATTGGAGTATTCAGATGCTGTGGTGTTTACCTCTCAATGTAATGTGTGAACAACATCTTTAGTTTTGATGGGGCACACCACAATCAGGGGGTAGGCCTAATTGCCCTGATACTGTGGTACAAGTTTCGACTCAGCAAATTATCCTGTAAACAACATACGAGTTAACTCAAAATTGCAAAAGGAAGGAAACAGCTCTGGTGTGACAATAAAAGAAGGAGTGAACACTAAAAAAAAAAAGGCAAAGGCAGTGTAGAGCCAGAAATAGGTTGCCAACATAACCAGTTTAAAGATAGGACATACAGCTTACACACCCAACAATAGAGGTATGTGCAAAATAAACCATCTATTCTACTGAACAAGTTTTATAGAGAAGTAATTAACTGAAATAAGCTCTGCACAAGTAGGATGCAGTTATGTAGACTAAAAACACATTGGATGAGCTGTATACAAAAAACAAGGAAATACCCTCATATCAAGAAACATACAACAATAATGCACTTGTAGAACCTACTCGTTTGCATGGGAAATAAGTGTCACAGTTGGGGATCTCAATGTGGCTCTCATACCGGGGGTTGTATATGCTTACAATTAACAAAGGTAATTACTAGTTTCTGTTACAATAATAACAATAAGATTTAGCTTTGCCTTAGGGCCGGTTGTGAAAACATCTGTGTTTAGACTTCTTCTTTGAATTGAAATTCCATCTCCTTCTTATTTCCAATTCTTTTTTAATGTATATTCCACTGGTTGAATCTATGACATATATTGTTTTTATTCTCTGTTTGTGTGTGGAAAAGCACTGTAAGGGGTGTGACCTAAAAACAGCATACAATATATTCTCTGTCTCGTGATGTGGAACACTTTTGCTACTTTTATTTATTGGTGAAATGTGTCTCATCACAGAGAATGTCACAAACTGAATGTGCCCCATTTATACTGGGCTCCTCATTTAACTGTCATTTAATCGGAGGCAGAAATGCTGCAGGATGCAGCAATATAATTATTTGTTTTGTTGAATAGTGCATAATAACCTCAATCTGATGAATGCCATGTTTAAATGACCCTCTTCCTTTGTCTCCCTTTTTCACAGTAGATCTGTATTTGACAATAGTCTAACAGGATTAACTCCAAAACAGAAGGTGTATGTCCTCTAGTGGCATGTTCTGGGTATTGCACCTTACAGAATACAGCTGCTTTTTGCCAGATCTCAGTTTAATGATGCTGAAATCTCATTTATGCTCAACAATATACATTACTACTGGTGGAACTGCTCTCTGTAACTTTATCTTTTATGTATCTACTCAATTGAATTGCTCCTCAAACCACAATTTACTTATCTACATTGTCAATTCTCCATCAAGGGGATAGTTTAATCGTATATTATTCTCATACTTATTTTTTACCATTCAATTGCGTCAATCCTATAATAAATGCATTATTTATTTGAGTATAATTGTGTGTACGTTTCCCCAGAAGGGTGTCCATCTGTGGCTCCATCAGCTGAGATGCCAAAACCACACACATCATTAACCATGTGTGCGCTCATACAGCATGTGTAGCTTACATTTGGCTGATTAGATAAACACTTTTCGGACTTGCTGTAAACAAACAGTTGTTTTATTCAAGATTAAACATTTAGACGACCACAGAATAGATGAACAGGCATTGGTCTAACACAAGGTTGCTTTTTCTGCTGCTGTCCCAGAAACCCACAATTAAGCAAAGCTTTAGCTCAACAAATGTACATCTATGTATAAAGATGCATGTATGCATATAGATACGGCTACATACTGTACATACATACATAGACTGTCAGTTAGTCTCCTGTATAAAGATTTTATCCCCGGAACATGATAACATTTGGATGTAAATTGTCACGTTTCTAGTATTTGGGCTGTAAAAACATAATCAGTCAGTTAAAGGAAAATCAGCCATTTTGAAAAATGTAATACAGGCTCCACACATTTTTTCAAGACACCGACAGTAGTCTGCATCTTATGCTTGAGGTGCATTTATTTATAGTTACCATGTGAAAAATAATAATAATATTCTAAGTTTTATTACCCCTCTAGAGTAGAAGGCAGTTTTTCCATTGGGCATCATGACCAGGAACAGAGCAAGAAAAACCCCGGTCTAAAAATGGCGACAGACAGACAAGTCCAACCAACTGAACCTGACAAAGGCACAAACAATACACAGATGTAGTTATATCTTCTTTTAAAAATACACACATCATAATACAATATGCCACCTTGCAGAGGCCATAGGAAAAGAAAAACATGAGAGTCAATATCAGAAAGAAATTGCAAGTTGTACAATTACATTGGAACTGTACATATGGAAAGCATAGACTATATTTCGTCATCCACGCCTGTTGACCTTCCTTTGGAATGTTAGAAGGGATAATTTCTCTGGTGGTAAATGCAGGCAGGACATGAGAGTATGCATCTGGCACTGAAGGTTGCGAAAGACTCAACAAGTGTATGCAGGATTGCAGGAGGCAGTAGATTCCCACAATCCCCCTCACCCGTGGTGTGAGTAAGACGTAGGGAAAGAGTTGAAGTGTAGTTGGTGGATGGAGTGTTAGACAAAACTCAGGATTAGCACCAACTTCAGAGGTTTTTGAATTGCTGTGTCTCCGAGCATAGAAGGTAGGGTTGCGTGTGTTTGACGATGAAGGATGGTGATAATGGCAATGGTGTGTGGGTGAATCAAACGTGGATGAGCCTGAGGGGACGCAGAAGCATCGGTGGTGTAGCATTCCTGACCCGGGACATCAATGGCCTCTGTCTTCCAAATGAGTAAACTAGAGCCAAAATCTATTTCAATAGGCTTCCAGGGCTTTAAATTGTTATAGTGTAAATGCACCATTAGGCATCCTGCACTGTTTAAAATGGTTAGATTGTTCCCCCCCCCCCCCGAATCAATATGGCCTATTCCTTATAAAACATTTACTTAATAGCTTTGGGTCCCTTGACATAAAGTAAAGTCTTTAGATTGAGAAAAGTGAATTATAATCGCTCCAATCTTTGTCTTCAAATCTATTCAAGTACTATAGGGCCCGGGTGTGCAGACAGGGGTTAAACTGGGAGCGAGCAGGAAAGAAACCAGCAGCCGACCAACACACAGTGAACTTACAGTATCATCAGAATTTTATTTGGTTCATAAAGAGACAAAAAGCTTCTTTTCTTTTTACGGTGAGCTCATTATGGTAGAATCCCAATTTAACCCCTGGATTTACATTCAAGTGAACGTGGAAGCGTATAATTAAGACCTTACAAGTGACAAGACAGTCAAAACAGTTGCAAGGCATCATGCAGTGCTACCTCATTAGATTTACATTGATTCTACTATTGAGAGAACAAAATCATTTAAGCTAGTTGCTGCGCAAATGGTTCAGCATGACTTTAGATCATAAGGTATCCATCTTATTCAAAAAATACAAAAGCTGTGATCTTCATGTACATGTGTCACATATAGTATATGAGAAGCTAATGCAGTTTGCAATAAGGTCACTGTTCTATTCAGCCGTTTGTCTCCGTGCTGTAGAGTTCTTTTTAAAAGCACACTGCCAATTATATCAACTGTTACTGATAGAAAAAAGACTAAAGATATGAGCACATATGAGTCTATAAAGCACAGACACGTGTTATGATTGAAACGCAAATCTGGTAGTGCTTACAAGCTTACATGCAGTTAATGGTCTGAGATGATATAGAGAACCAAAAACAATAAATACATTGTATAAAACATAATTTCATATCAATATATTAAAATACTATTTAAAATAATATCTTAGACAATATTGCAATATGAAATTGACTGATAAATAGTTGGTAGGCCTACACAGAGAAATATATACTGTATATATATATTTAAGTATCTGTGTCCTTCATAGTTTGCTGTTTTGATTTAGATGAGATTCCAGATTTCCCTCAGCGGGTAGCAGTACAATCCAGAGAGCTAATACATTTGTCTTTTTTTCCAACAATAATAACAATGAACTTACAGTACACAGTCCCATAATAAAGATATACATACCGAATACAATATAAATGTCAAGACAGAAAAATAGAAAAATATCAATAGAAATCAAAAGTCAAATACATATTGGAGAAAGTATACAGAGTAAAGTGTACTTATGAGTCTTTGTGGTTCTTGTTGTTGTAGCTGGAGCTTGTACTGGCTCTCATTGTTGGTAAGTTGGCTGTGTACTTCGGTTATTTGTTTTTTTCTTCCAGTCCCAACACACACACACTCACACACTCCAAGACAGACACAAAGTTACACCAATCCGCAAACACAGACACATGCAATGGCACAAACGCCACAGGTGCAGGTGTGTACTTGCACCCACGCACGCGCACACACACACACACACACACACACACACACACACACACACACACACACACACACACACACACACACACACACACACACACACACACACACACACACACACACACACACACACACACACACACACACACACACAACACACACACACACACACACACACGCATGCACACACTCACACAGCTCACATGACCGTGCAGCACTTGCAGGTCTGTTTCTTCTCCTTTCCTTTCTCTCCATCCTCTCCGCCTCCGTTGGCCTTCTCTTTCTCCGCCATGCTCCCATTGGGTGGAGCCTGCTCATCTGAGGCCGCCTCTCCTCCAGCTTTCCCCTCCCCATCCTCGATCACCACAAACTCGGCCTTGACGTTGCCATCCACCCCGTCCATGGCCGCGCGGTTCTCCTGCTCCTCCTCCACGGTTTTGTATCCCATGAACACCAGGGTGACGGGGTTCTCTGCACTAGCTTGGTCAGGACTGGGCCCCAGCAGCGTGGCCTCAATCCCTGTCACCTCCCTCTTGGGGGTCTGACCAGAGCTCTGCACTACTCCATTCTCACCTATAAGGGGCGCCAGAGTGCCATTAAAATGTTAGGAGTGAGAAAAAATAAAGAGGGTGTCAGGGTAAGTCAGAGAGACAAAAGCAAGAAAGGAAATATTGCTTTAATTACCTCCGGCTGAGAGGAACAATTTAATAGAGAAAATCGCGAGGCCATTATTAGCTCACTTTCTCTTTCTGACACAGGTGTCAAGGCTGCTTTGCCTTGGTTTCCTGACTGTGATCATATGTCGCCATGGGTACTGAACTTACCTCCATTTTCTTTGGCCACACCCTTATTGGCTGGAGGGTCTGTCTCCAGTTCCTCAATCTCTTGCTCCAGCCTGGCTCAGAAACACACACATGTGCAAATACATTATTGGAATGAATACACAGAGACTAAAATACTGTTTATAGACAGGCAACATTTGAGTATATGATAATAATAATAATACATTTGATTTATATAGCACACTTTAAAAACAACGTCATCTCAAGGTGCTTTGGAATGATCACTTCATGCTTGTCACTGTTTCCTTACACAAACTGACCATCCCTTTTTCTCATAAACAATAGTGTTTACTATTAAAATGTAAAGACATTCGGACTGATATTGCACTTACCTATGCTTGAATTTGGCACAAATAAAGACAGTTATATATAGTATTTATTTTATCAAGGTAAAAAAAAACTGATATGTCTATTCTGTGTTTTCAAATTGATTTAATTACTTATAATGCAACACATAACTCTCACAAAAACATAATCAGGCATCTGTTAGTTTACTATGGCAGCATTTTAAAACAGATTATCCTTCTCTATCTAATGTTAATATAGAGATTTATTCCATGATTTATACATACAATATCTTGTCCATTCAGGTTACAGTTTTGCTTTCATGTTGGATAAATAAACCACAGTCAACATTAGTACCATGATAACCAAACATATTTGAACCCTTTACATGCTAGTAATAAAGACTGTTTTAAAGATAGGACATGCAGGGTTTTTTAGATGCTGACCTGAGGATGACCTGCTCCAGGAGTTTAGTCTTCACCTCGTCTTCATGCAGACGCTTCTGAGTCTCCTCCTCCGCCGGAGCTCCATCTAACAACCAGCGCTCCCTCAGTGCCTTCGACTGCAAGAGAACACAATAAATATCACCATGAGAACTAACATAACGAAAAGGTAAATCATTTCCTATAATTGCTTTATATGTGGTAAAAAGGAGAGCACGTTTCAATTTAATTTCCCCCTGTTTGATGTCAGTGTATGTCAGCTATAATGAAAAGAGAATAAGAATGGAGGGGGCTTTTGATCATGCTTCTTTCATCAAGAAACAGTTGATTAATTCATTAGCAGAACTTCAATCACCCACAATGCAGCTCACTCTCACCCTTTCAAACTATGACATACGTGTTTTTTCTTTCTGAAGAGATTAGAAAACTACAAGCACCTTAGCTTATCTACAGCGAAAATCGACCAGCAAATTGCATCCAGGACTTCCTGCTGAGTGATGCCACTCAGTTATTGTGTCACAGTACTTCAAATGCTGCCAAGTTGCTGTTGCCAAGAAGACTATGGCACCCCGTCAGTGCATTAAAGCTTCTGGCATTATACAGACAAATTCTAACTACGATACGACTTGTGTTATACTCCATTGAGCATTGGATTAGAAATCTAGATAAATCACAGAGAGATAAAAAGTTATAATCTTAATCTGCATTAAAACATTTCATGGAGGTTGACAATAATTACAAAAAGATCTCGATGGGGGAGTTGAGAGCACTGACTGTGTTTAAATGTACTGATTGTTAACTGATTGTCTCATTATAATAATTGCAGATAAAGTTAATTCTAGGTCAAGATAATTAAATACTCCCGAATGAATTGAAATGAACGACTACATGGGAATGAAACTTTATTATTCTCTTATACTCCACTTCCTTATTTCCTGGTACATGTTTTTGTCCTCCATCTATTTCCAAACAGTGTTGTATTCTTATCTTAACACCCCATCCACATTCCCTCCTGTTGATAAGCTAATATCAAAGCAAATACTTGGCACGCTTTGAGGTAAATATAACAGTGTGTCTTACTCGCAGCTGTTAGAGCGAAAATCAGACCTTGCCTGTCCATATGGAAAAGTGTTAGAAAAGATCTTGTTTTCAGGAGTTGGACTGAAAATCTGGACCTGAGCTTGATTTGAATTCCTCTCCAGTGATGCAACAAGAATTTCTACAGCAAAACTCCCCCTGTTTTTTTTTCTGTTCTTCCCTGACTCGACCACCGCCCCTTCCCCTCTCTTGTATGCATCTCTATCCTTCATACAGGTCATGAACTGTCATGGTGTGTGCATGTTTTATTGAATAAGGTTGTAAATGTCAGCGTGTGTGTTCCTCAATCCCAATCCATGTTTATCTTTTTAAAGTTAAAGGGACTGATGATCTTTTTTACTTTCCCCATTGGGTAATTCAGGTCCAGACATTCAGCTCAGCAGAGCATTACAGCACACACACTCTCACGGTGTAATTCAACACTCTTCATGCCCCTGCCCTGCATGGTCTCCTGGGCACTGAATCCAACTCTGCTCCCCTCACTCTCTCTCTCTACTCTGTCGCCACACCCTACTACCCCAATGTCTGACATCACCAAGTTAATGTACTCACTCATGCGCACTCACACATGTGCACACACTCTCTCTCTCTCTCTCTCACACACACACTCAAACTGTCACACACACACACACACACACACACACACACACACACACACACACACACACACACACACACACACACACACACACACACACACACACACACACGTCTGCATGAACAGTCGTAAAGCTGGAGCGCTGACTGAAGTTACGTCTCTCTCCATTGTTCTTTTGAGTAAAAGCTGCTAACGTAGCAGACAAAGGGCGGAACTGTGACACACACACGCACGCACGCACGCACGCACGCACACACACACACACACACACACACACACACACACACACACACACACACACACACACACACACACACACACACACACACACACACACACACACACACACACACACACACACACACACACACACACACACACACACAAATGAAATGAGCAGCTGTAAGGAAAATAGTTTTTTTTATATTCACGTTACATTTTTCCTTACAAAGTAGAATGGCAAAACTTTTCAATAAATATTAAACAAAAGCCAGGATATGGTTAGCTTAGCTCAAACACTTAAAACAGAAAGAGTAGACTGGCTTAATTTTGTAGAAGAATGTCAATATTAAGTATTGGTAAGTTTGATTTACAAATGTGCATAACGTAGTACGTTATCATTGAGAGGTTTAATTAAAGACACTGCCAGCTACTGTATACATAAGCATATGCACCATGGCTAGTTAATCAAAAACAGAACTCCTGTTAATGTTAAAAACAATGCATTACCTCATCTCACCGTTATCTCTGCACTGTGTATTCAAGTATGTGAGTATAATCCTGGATTAGTGTGATTTAATGATGGGGCAGGTACTCCCTTGTAAAAATGGTGTGTAAACGGAGACATTTATTGGCTTTTCCACATGAAAGCTGTGTCTGGAAAAGCAATACTTGCTGTGGTTTGCACAAAGAGCCTTCTAATGCCCCTGTACAGCAGGATTACACTTCCCCTTGGTGAATCTATGCATGCGTGTGTGTGTGTGTGTGTGTGTGTGTGTGTGTGTGTGTGTGTGTGTGTGTGTGTGTGTGTGTGTGTGTGTGTGTGTGTGTGTGTGTGTGTGATAGAGAGACGAAAGCGGGGTGCGGTGGGTGTAAGGGCCCTTTCCTGTTGGTGGGAGTGGGACAAAAATCTGTTTCCTCTCCCAAAGCCCTCTGCATTGTCCGAGGCTTCTGTGTTCTTTCATGAAGCATCGCACACAAAAAACGAACACACGCATACAGATACACACTTACAAAGGTTTGCTCTGAAAATAGCTAAAAAGTGGGAGCACGCAAGGGCAGTAGAACAGGTCACAGAGACTTTTACCACCAACGCACGCACGTCTTTGTCGGCGCGTACACACCGCAACCTTTGCTCTTATCTGTGACATGCCGAATTGTCCGTGGCTGAAATAGCTTTGATAGTGCTGACACATGCACGGACAAAGGCCTCAGCTCTGATATAATGAGTGTGTGGCCACATGCACGGAGATTTGAACTTGTTTTTTAGTGAGTGTGTGTGTGTATACACAGCGTGTGGAGGAGCTGCCGGTGTTATCTGCTGTCCATTCTGAACATTCCGTGACAGCAGTGGTTAGGGAGTATCGCACTATAAGGGGATGACACATATCAAGGGAATTGCTGACTGTGATTTAGTAATTTGGACATCTAACACTTCTCAAAAGCAGAAATCACAGAAAACACATAACTGACTGTATTGACTGTATCTTGAGGTCTGGTAAAAGTAAGAGAGAGGCATTTAGGGGTTTAGATTACGCTCGGAAAGAATTTAATCATAAATACATTCATCTTATCAATGTGAGGGCTCCAGTACATTTCAAACAAAGTGGGATTGGAGTGTTCTCAGCGGGTGTCGAATACAGTGCTGAGGGCATACCAGTGGCAAGTCAAGGAGAGGCTAAGGACTATAGTTACAAGACATTAATGTAAAGCAAAGACAACACAAGCATACGTAATGTTGTAGCGAAGCTAAGAAGAGCCAACTAACTCCGCTTGTAAGAGCCATTTTAATGAAGGGTCATGTTTGGGTTCAAGCTGTCACAATGATGTGTTATTTACTGTGTATGCCAAAGGGTGTCGCTGTCCTATTACCATGGACAAAGGTCTTTAAGGTGTGTCATGATTGGGTGTGTCTGACCCTGGAAGGGCATATGGTTTTTGACCACCGTAGCGCGAGGGTTGTAAGTACCATAAAGATTGTTTGGGAAATGAATGAAACATGAATGGAAATTGACTTTTCTTTTACGATGCACACTGAGACAATACATCGATTGATTTATGCTGCAACTGGAAACAGGCTACAGTTTCTTCACTGAAGCAGCAACACATTCGGTAACTTATCCACACAGTATAGAGCGTCAGTCAGGTCATTTCCAGGAGTTAAAACACCACAGAGTAGCTTTAGTATTATAATAAAGCTCCTACACCATTAGTCAATTACTTCTAAACATTAGCAAACCCCACCTGTTTGCAGATAATATGTTACATCAGTTTTTATGTTCAATTACAGTTTTCTCACTTGAACAGTAGGAGAAAAAAGGCGTGTGTAAAATGTAAATGCATGTGGAAGTGAGTGTGTGTGTGTGTGTGTGTGTGTGTGTGTGTGTGTGTGTGTGTGTGTGTGTGTGTGTGTGTGTGTGTGTGTGTGTGTGTGTGTGTGTGTGTGTGTGTGTGTGTGTGTGTGTGTGTGTGTGCACCTTGAGATGCTGGAGTTGTCGTCGGTCATCATCCAGCTGCCTCCTTTTGTTTTCTATCTCTGTCTGCCTCTTCCTCTTCTCCTGTTACAAAACATACACACAAGCATTACAATTACTCTGCAAGTTCTACAAGAGATAATAGGAAAATGATGACACAGATGTCTTCTTTAACACCGCTCTGTGTCCTTAATAGGGCTGAAATGTATTAGGTCTTACTATGAAAGGAGCTCTATAAATAAAATAAAAGGGATTGTTATCAAACAACCCCAGCCTATGTCTTCAATTGTAGTGCTGAGGATTTAATGGAGATCTTTGATGACTGAGTACATTATGTTTCAGTCAATGTAATTACTATAAGGAATCCAGAGAAAGAGAGGGAAGCTGGTGCACAGTTACTGCACTAATGCATTATAGGAACACATTATATACTCAATATGCCAAGTTCATCTCAGATAATTGTGATGAGAAACTTTTTGATATTATAGTGTGTGTAGTGTTTGGACCCTAATGTTGTTTTATTGGAGGTGCACTTATCGTAGTTGTAGAGTTGTATATATCTTACAACATTAACTACCTATGGAGGCCATTTTGCCTTGACAGATATTTCAAATGTTGGACGTTTCTGTTTAATTGACTGTAAATCCCTCTGTATTGATTTTGATCTATTGGGTTGTAAAACTACTCACAACAAATCAAATCAAATGCATGTCAGGAACTGTGTTTGCCATCAGTTGTAATTTGTATGCGAATATTTATATCCCAATATACATAATTATACTTTGCAGAAAAAGAGACTTTATCTCTCTGCGTTTGTGCGCTGGGCTAATGCTAATGCTAATAATGCTAATGCGAGGAATCCGAGGATAATAAAATGGCGGCTTCACAAAACTTTTTGGGAGTTTTACGGGGCGTGGTTTGCATTCAGCCCAGCCAATCAGACATAGGAACCTTTTTCTCCCACGAAAGTCCCTGCTCTCTAGCAGGGACTGAAAAGCGGGTAAAAATGGTTCTGATGAACTAATTTAGTTCAGGGGGCTTTTTGGTGTGAACGCAAATATATCTGAGTTCTGATGAACTATTGTGGGAAAAGTACTCCGGTGTGAACGCGCCTTATGAGAGTGCCTTAATATGCACTGTGTGTGTGTTTGAGAGTGTGTGTGTGTGTGTGTGTGTGTGTGTGTGTGTGTGTGTGTGTGTGTGTGTACAAATAACTTACAGCGATGGCCTGGAGTTTCTCCTCTTGTGACACCTCAGCCATCCTAAAGAAAAAAAAAAGAGAGACAGAAAGGGAGAGTAAGTTATAGTCAGATATGAACATCAGACATGACACACGGTGACAAACAACTTTCCTTGCATTCGCTCCGTTCGGCCATTTACCTTCCAAAGATTTCCCGGTGACTGAGGTTAAATATCTTTCTGCTGGCACTAAATCAGTGTCTCTTTCCTGTCAGGGAGAGTCAGGGAAGGCATGCTAATGTGCTAGCAGGGCGCTGCTGGAGATTCCTGCTCTAATGGGTTCCAGACCAGAGGCTCCAGGATGGAGGATGGACGGAGCAGAGAAGAAGCAGAAGAAGGACTGCCACTTTTGCTCAACTGACACTGGACAAAGATAATTTATCTTCTATCAAGTTTTATTTTTTTCTGTAGGCAATGGCTTACGTTATCTCTTCCAATTGGAAACTTGATTACTTTTGACTTTTAAAAAAAGAGTACATTTATTTATAATGGGAATCGGCACACCATCTGAGATGACATTCCTCTGTAATAGAAACCCATTTTTACTTATGTTGTGTAGGAATTTATATACAGGGGTGTTATTTTTATTTAAACTTTGGGGGGGCGTTAACTGAGGAATGCTTAAGCCATAGTCTCCCTAGAAAAGATGTGTGTGTTTTAAATGGTACACTAAAAGCAGAATACATTTTTTCCACTATACATGAGATTTTTGACCTGGCAAAAAAAAAATGATGTTAATGCTGATCCTGACCTACACTGTAGTGCAGAATCTTTTCTTTTGAAACTAAATCTCAAGTCGAAATCTGATATAAAAGTCATGTTGAATTTAAGATTACTGTACACCTTGAATATTACAAAGTGAATCTCTTTGGGTTGTTGCCTTGTTTCTCAGACATGTTTGAAGAAATTAGCTTGGACTCTTAGAAACGTGATAATGAATATAATTGCAGTCCCAATTATGATATTAAGAGTTTACATTTAAGACAAATTCATAGCTTCTGGTTTTATGGCTATATCTGAATATGTATGTATTACCAGTAAAACAATATTTTACTTTCAAGCATGGTTGAGATCAGGTGGGCAAATTACTCATATCCAGTTATAAGGGATGACATGGCATCTTTGCGTTAATATAACTATTTTGCCAGACTAACAGACCTCTGTGAACTTTACAGTGTGGCCCAACATGTGTAAAGCACTATAGCAAAGCAGCAGTGTGCCTTTTTCTATCCCAAACTGAAACTGTATCACAACACATATGGTATTCTGATTTCTCTGCACTGGTCCAAACCAAACTCTTACAAAACAAGCATGACACAACAACTCTACATAACTCCCCGCCCACTCCTCTCCAAAGCCAGTAAAATGTGTTGAAACTGTTTGATCATGTCAATTCTCCTGTTGAGTGGCCAGGACACCCACTGGTTCTGTGAGTTAGCTTGCATCATTTCCCAACTGAATAAGCTTAGATTGTGAACGTATCAACAGAGAAAACCATCACAATCTTGGCCGTGATGTAGGGTTGATGTGATTGCTACGCTTTTTATTTCCCACACAAAGGCATGTAATGAAACAACACTGGCTCCTCTCAAACGATAAAGAAGCATACATTTTCCGTCCTGCTTGTAAGTGAACTATCCAATCACAGAAGCTGCAGGACTCACAAAACCTCAGGGGGACATTCTCTAAAATCCCATCACACACTTCGGGCAGCACACACAAACAAATACCACACTGCTCTTTGCTCCTTAACCAAACCACATTACCATCACATGGAGACCCTTTGGAGAAAATGTAAAACCTCAATCATCTGATCAACCTCACATGAACACATATTCTACTGTCTGGAAGCTTTCATTAAAAATATTCGCCTTTTCCACTGAGCCAGCACAAACAGGAAGTCTGAAGAAACATCTTGAAATGCACTGAGGAAAATGACGATGAATAAGGGAAGCCAGCACTGTCAAGTTCATTAATAAATAATCAAATAAGGATCCAGTATATTATGTTTTTCAGACTTCCAGCCAGGTACAGTTTTAGTCTTAATCTCCTTCTCGTCCCTTCCCAGCCCTCAGGTTACAGTTGGAGCAGGGCAGATGTGACTGAGCATCTGGATCAGTTCATCAGTGGTATGAAGGAGGCCTGGAAGCACCGGCTGACCATCCTGACCCGAGAGAGGTCATAAGCATCTGCAGAGATTGGGCCGAACACACCAACTGGGTAGAAGGAAACAGTTTGGGGACGCGAGATGAAGACGGATCAAAACATGTTTTTCTACTAATGTTAATGACCTCTGTTTTTTTTCATTTAATCGTTTATTTGAATAGGGACCATGCACATTAATGAACACTTAAGCCAAATAATGCTTCAAGTGTAAATATGCCGGATTTTAGCTTTGAGCTCATTTCCATCCGTAGTCCCTGACATACAACATATAAGAACATGACATTTATAAACATAGCAAAAAATAAATACATGATATGCAAAAAGAGCATGAGCAGCATACACAAGTATTTACCACCTGGCAGTACAATCTAGCAGCAACAACATATAAAGTGCAAGAGATGATACAAGAGCTACCTAAAGTGCAAGAGGAGATACCCCTGTGTATTTAGCGGTGATTGCACGTCTGTTTGTTTCTCAACCATTCTTTGAGTTGACCTTTAAAACTATTGAGAGTGGGACAATCCCGTATCTCAGTTGGGAGGCTATTCCAGAATGAGCTGCCTTTAATGGAGAGGACATTTTGACCAAAAGTGGTCCGTCTACGATGGACTTCACAGTCTCCTCTGGTTTCTGACCTAGTGCAGCGTCCAGTGTGTTTTTTGTGGATGAATTCCCCTAAGGGAGGGGGGGCCAGTCCATGTAAACATTTATAAAAAAAGCACTACTTTTAAAATACTTCAAATTGTCAAAACTCAAGAAATTGTGTTTTTCAAGGATGGTACAGTGGTGGTATGAATGTGGCTTTCTGTCAAAAACCTTGATAGCTCTCTTGTACAGCTGTTCTATCGGTTTAAGGTTTGTGGCACAAGCAAACGACCAGTTTGTAAAACAGTATTCAATGTGGGATAGAATCATACAGTGGAGGTATGACTTTGCAGCATTGACAGTTAAGAAGGGTCTGATTTGTTTAAAATGTTGCAAGTTGAATTTAATGGTATTGGATACTTTCTTGATATGTTTCTTAAAATTCAAGTTCGAGTCCCAAGATACTTGAAGTGGGGGACTAGTTATATTTCTGCTCCGTTTAAAAACCCATTGGATCCTTCGATTTGACCGATTTTTTTTACGTTTAACTGTAAGCAAATGTTGTTCAGCCAGTGTTGAACCTTGTCCGATGCATTTGAGAGACAAGATGAGATTATTTCTGTATGTTTCCCGTGTATAAAGATGACCGCATCATCGGCATACATTTGCACATTCAACTCAGGACATACATCAGTTACATACATCAGACGAGTAAATGCATTCCACTTTGTCCCTCTGACTAAATCTGCGTAATGCATTTACTCAAAAGTTTATTGTAATGAGGTTTGTGGGGGAGAAATACATCACCATAGTAGTCTTGAAAGGTTTGCCCACAATTATTATGAACTCATGTAACCCAGTGTAGTATTACAAATATGTATGTCCTAGTATTGTAAACTGAGAAGTACGTAGACCTGACACAAAATAAATATCACATTGAACAGTACTTTTTAAAATATATGTTAAATTATCATGTATCAGACGTGTTATTTGTCTGTTAATAAAACATAAACCAGATGTCTCACAATGTAAACAGGCAACAAATTGCATATTGAAATACTTAAGACCCAATCAATTAAGATACACTTCTCAAATTCACTATTGTTTAAGTAAGTCTTGACATAAAGTCATTATATGGGATCTTCTCTTGAACAAAATAGTTTGAAACCATCAAAAAAGTTGGTCAAAAAACTAACATAGCAAGTAGACCTTGAGTTAGACTATGTTGCCAAATAGAAAGTGATGTTTAAATAAGGTATTATCGGCTCCAAAAATAAAAACAACACTGAAAACAATCAATGCTTAACAACTGTAGAAAACCTGAACATTTGATTATAACTATCCAGTTCATCACGAGTTAACAACAGATGTCCATTGGACCAACTCGAGGTTGTGCTCATATTTCAAACCTGAATTGTAATGCTAACCCTGCTCCTCTAACCTCTAGGCTACATCTGTGATAGATTTTTAAGATGTATCGGAAACAAATATGTCCACCTTGTACGAACATAGTGGGGCTACATCCTTCTGGCTCTCTCATAAATTATGGACGAACAAGAAGAAAGCAGAGTAGGCACAAAGACAACCATCTCTGCAGCATGGTAGGAAGAGTAATTACATTTATGGGCGTGAAAAGAAGACATCCAGGGACGCTCACAGACTGGCCAGCAGAAACATATTGAGACAGATAAATAAGAAAGATTATAAACCAGACAGGACTAAGCGACAAAGCTTTATTAGCCAGCAGTGTACATACAAACAACTAAAAGTAGGGATGTTTTGTCAATATGTCAAAGCAGGTGAAGTCAGGGAAACTAATGACCAGCCCTATTCCCTGTTGAGTGCACTGCTGCTGTAGCATTTCCAGGAACACATTAACTGCCTGCATAGAGCACCAGCATCCTCTTCTAATAGCATCATGGTCCTCTAGCACCAGCAGTCTCCTTACATACTCTCGATCTGGACTGAAACGCCCCAAAAGTGATTATCTTAATGCCCATGGAGCTCAATGAATGGTAATCCTGCTGCATCTTTGTTTAGGGATATCATGACGAGCCAACCAGGATTTCTTTCCAAGATTTTCATTCAACTTAATTGGCAGAATGTACCAAAGGCAAATCGTCACACTGTCATCTTCAATTGTATTTAACTATTGCCCTTGCAGTAACAAAACATCACTTTTGAATGTTTGAAGGATTGCTTTTGGAGGAACCAAATTTGTTACAGGCAATTGCACTAAAATGTTCTGAAAAGTCGGACAAGAGATGTTGTA